GTGTCCTACTGTCACATGAAAAGGTGATCACTATCATGGCAAACTTTGTTAAGTTTCCGTTTTGTCTGGTGTCATAAAAGCTGGAGTTCATGTCCTTTGCTGAATCTTTGGATACTTTTGAGACTGTGGTGACAGCCATAAACCTTTCCTCAGAAAATAGGCACAGGGTCAGACTAACTGAAATCCATTTACAGATTTTCTTCCTGGTCTCAGATTTAGAAAACCCACTATATAAAGATGTGTCCTTTGTTCTTATTGTCTAATTTGAAAACACACCGCGTGCTTATTTCTCACTGATGCCAGATGTTTTAAAAACTAAATAGTTGAGGTTGTCCAGCAAATATTATTAACCAAGTATAACTATATGCAGCTGCATTATATGTAGTGGGTGAGAGAAAAAAAGGATGAAGGGAGAGAGGAAATTCATGCAGGAATACTTGGTGTTTAGGCTAATACATCCACCCTGTTATTCAGGTCATTAGAGACGTAGGTTAATGAAGAAGCCCTTAGCATATGCATCTTAGTGTCCATGACCACTTCCACTTTAGATGCCATATGAACAAGAGTTAGAGAGTGGTTTTAAAGTAGTAGTTTAAAGTAGCAAAAACATACTGTAATACCTTTTTAATGCTTTGGAAAGAAATCCATGGCATTCCAGCATTTCAGAAGAAGGCTGAGTTGTTGAGAATGATTGATCAGTTTTACTAGGACAATTTTTTTAGAGGGATGCTTGATGAGATCCGTTTACTTGATTGTGTGTTTATAGTGAGATACATTTAGTTGGGTTATAGTTCACGTTTTCTAGTCCACTCTTTTTATTGCTTTCCATGCACCTTGGTTTTTAGATTAACATCAAATATGCAGGAATATAGATGAGTGTTTTTTATTTGGGGAGGGGTAGGTAAAATGTGGGATCCCTTCATTGTTCAAAGGGAAAAGGAAATGGTTTTGACATGGATTCCAGTGACAGTAGTTTGCTTGAGAAAGTGAAAATTGGCCTGTTGTAGGCAAAGCTTATAGGTGAACTCAGAAATAAGAAAGAATAGGAAAGACTAGAATTCTTTAAATTGAATTAAATTAAAGTAGGCAACATTTCAGCAGCAGCTAAAAAAATATGAATTAAATCAATACAGAATGGTGTATTATCTAACACAGGGAATACTACAAAAGATACTTTTGACAAGATGGGGATGAAATGAATACTCTTGAAAAAAAACAGAACAAAATTTCATAACCAAATGGACACTATTGACCATGTATAGTACAGTTATGAAAGTTGACATAGTTTTTGGAAAGCATTTTGGCAGTTTATGACAATGTTTTCACATTCTTGGACTAATTTCTAGAATTTTATTCTAAAATGAGAACTTATAGCATGAGAATGCACATGAAATTATTTATTATAGTATTGTTTATAATATTAAAAAGAAATACCCGTAGTGTACAACAATAAAGAATGCTTAGAACATCATTCTTAGAACATTCATTCTAAAGAAAAAATCGTTCTTCTATAAAGAATGATTATAGAACATCAGACACTTGATGAAATGCAATTGGAAAGTTGTTAAAGATAAGCACAAAGTGGATAATATTTTTGATAGAAGAGAGGAGAGTTCAAGATTATACATATTTATTCCATGAGTGTAGCTATGTAATGATTACTTGTGTATATGAACAAAACCTGTCAGGTAAGAGGAAAAATGGAAAAAATTGATACTTCAGGGTAATGTCAATGTATATGAAATTTCAGATATCTTTAATTGCTATCATTTTATTCAGTAATGAAGACTTTAAAACAATCTTCTAATCTTATGCTGTCTTGGGTATATGTAGATTGTTGTTGTTTTTGAGACAAGGTCTTGCCATATAGTTCAGGCTGGCCTGGACTCACTCAGTAGCCCAGGCTGGCCTGGAACTCAGGAGATCCTCCTGCTTCAGCCCCAAGTTCTGGGTTTACAGGCATGTGTCACCACACCTGGTGTGGATTGTGTTAAATGTTGGGCTTTTCATAACCTAGTAGGAGTCATATTTTTGCCCTTAATATATAGCTTTGGTCCCAAAACTACTGAGTAGACCATTCTTTACCCACTGATGTGAAACACTACCTTTATGACGTGTAGATGTGTCTGTCTTTGGACCATATCCTTTGGGATCTGTCTGATCTCTTGTTGCACTGCTTATGTTATGCTGAGTTTTATTCTATTTGCTTTGTCGCAGGAGAAGCACTCACCCCTCTCCTCACAGCTGAAATATTTATTTTTCTCATACTTTTGTTTCTTTTCTTTTGTATTTACTCTTTCAAATGAAGTTTAGAATAAACTTACTGAATTTCTTTTGAAGATACTCAGTTTGAGTTTTGCTTGTATACATTTAACTTACAGACTCATTTGGGAGCTAATTTTGTCTGCCATGCTTCTCTTTGTTTCTGGAAGTTCAGTGAAATATTTGAGTGTTTTGTATTGGGATGCAGTCCATGGAAGCACGATAACACATCATTATTACTTCTGTAGAGATGCAGAGTAGTTCTGATATCGATGCCAACAGATTTACATAGGGAAGGTAATAGCTTTCCATTGCTTGAATCAAAGAATGCAGTTGAATCCAGATGGAGAAATAGAAGAGGCACACAGTGATTCTGTAAACCAGAATTTATTTTCATAGTATATGAAACAAGTGGTGTTTCAGAAGAGCAGCAGATTTGAAGTGGCCACTATGGTTAGAAAGACCCAGTCTTAGCTGAAAGTGGCCACCGGTGGCCGATTATTTACTCTGTCAGTGCTGTGTGATGGGTTCTTTCAGAAGCCAGTTTCCCTGTGATCTCCTAAACAGTTTTGTTGTCTTCTGAGCCTCGTGTTCCTTTTCTGAACGCAGGATCCTTGTATTTTATCTTCATGTTTTCATGTCTTCCTCTTATGCCCGTCACCTTCACTCTCATTTTCTCCCTCTGCTGTTTTCCGCACCTTCTTCCCCTCCCATAATATCTTTGTGTCTTCCTGGTGTCACTGTGATGCTAAATCTGGGACTCTACTGCTGAATATAATATTTGGGGCCAGGACTTTGGGACATCGCTCTGTAATGGATTTGTCTCACTTCTGACTTGAAAGTTGTTTATCTTTACCAACATAAAGCAGGAGTGGCTCTTGAAACGGAGCCTCGTGAATTGCAGGACAGGACTATTAGGGGAGGCATTGCATCGGGAAAGGTTGTGATCAAACTCTTTGCTAAGTGGTAGTTCTCGTTCACCCAACCAAATGAAATAGTAATATGACCATTGTTTGGACTAGAGGCAGGTTAGCTGTCCTTGTAGTCTGTAAAATCTTTGATCTATTTATACAATCTGTTTTCTATTAAAAAAAACACAAACAGGTCAGGTCAGATTCTGTTCTAATAATTAACAGTCCTTTATCAGCCAGGAACACAAAGCAAGTTGTTCTTCCTTTTTTAGGAAATGGAATTTCATCTAAGTTTCCTCTCTCAGTCATGTCAGATATTTGTTATTGTTTTGGTTTTTTTCTTTCTTTTCTTTTCAGGTCTCCTTCCTAAACTGTTTTGGAAGCTGTTATAGGGTAGATTTTCCTTGGCATGTTACTTTCTACTGATTATGCTTGTGTGTGTATGCAGGCCCATATTTGGAGAGGAGATGGTTCAAAATTGCAGACCAGTGATTTTTTGCAGAACATCATAATTTGTATTTATATTGGTTTATAATCTCAGATTAACTCTGTGTGTGTGTGTGTGTGTGTGTGTGTGTGTGTGTGTGTGTGTGATTGACTGCAAACAACTATGAAAACTTCATAGCTTTTTTACTTAAAATATTTTAGGTGAAATTACCACACAGTTGCCAGGAGGAGGAGAAGCTATGGCCTGATCTTGTTTTTGCTTCCGATCAGTGTAACTCAGCATCCATCCTGCAGGTCATGCTGCTGTATGGGAGGTCAGGCTGACACAGATCCAAAGCACACATGTCCAGGAGGCCATGTGACTTCTTTCTACTCACTACCCGGCCCTACCCCCAGGGTAAAGAACCCTCAGAGAGAGGGTTTGTTTTTGTTGGGTGGACACACTGAAGCCCAGGTGCTTCTCTATACTGGGCGAGCTCTGGAGATCCTCCAAAGTGGCGACCCTTTCCACCCCTGGACTCCACTTCCTTGCTGCACCCACAGGCTGGGCGGAATGTGCTGTGTTCCTAGAGGCCCCACTCAGGGTTCCTGGCCTGAGAGTCCAGAATCTTGCAAAGCTTCTGAGATGACCCAGTAGGCGGGGCTGTTACTGCTGCTCCCTAGGGTGTAGCTCCACTGACTTGCCCCACCCTCACCAGCCCTGCCCCACCCCCACACAAAGCCTCTGAGTGATGCCTACTTGAGACCACGGCTGCCCCACTTCCTTTGTTACTTGCCCTTACAGTGCCCTGGGTGGCTGCTCCTCTCTTTGAGACCAAGACACCTTTTAGGGCTTTGTACCAACCAAAGCGTTTAAAAGAAAGTGCGCAGCCAGGCTGGGTGGTAAAGAGGACTTGGAAAGACCTCCGACAAGGTAAATAGCAAATGGAACTAGCATAGCAAGTATGGCAGCAAATAGTTGTGTTTATTTGGTAAAGTTTGTAATAATTTACTGGTCCAGTAAAATACCAGTAATTTTAGGTACAGTATAAAAATTAATACAAATAATGATGCTTGACGGGTTGAAATTTAAAGTTAAAGATGACAAAGTATCACATTTATCCAGTAAAGTTAAAAAAAAAAATCTTCCCTTCTTCCTGAACTTCTTTAGCTGTAAAAACAGAACAAACCAGCTCTGACATCCATACTGAATGTATCAGGAAGTGTCTTCTTGGATGTCAAAAATGTTGTTGTTGGAAAGGAGGAGCTATGACATTTGAGCTCACTCACATGAAGCGAATAGAACAAGTGACAGTGTTTTGGACCTGTGCCCTTTGGCTGTGGTTTCTTAGAGCCAGGACAAGGAACTAGAATGATGCTGTGACTTATTCATTTTTTCAGGGGCAGATGACAGTCTATGCAAAGTTTGGCAAAAATGTTTATCTTCCTGAAGACGCGGAGTTTTACTTTATTTATGACGGATCTCAACAGAGACACATTGTGATCGCAGAGCGCACAGAGGACAACGTGCTACAGTCCAGCATTCCAGGTGAGGTGGCATTTTGACTGTGCAGGTGAGACATCCGCCTGCACGCATCTTCTCTCCTGGATGCAGGCCAGAAAGAGAACTGGAGGAAAAGGTGAAAGTGCTCTCAGGCCATGCGTGTAGGTACACACACACGTGTGTGTATGTGTGTGTGTGTGAGAGAGAGAGACACACACACACACACACAATAGGAAGAACACTTTCCCTGTGTTATCTCACACCTAAGGTTCTTTATGCTCTTTCTATAGCTCCATCCAAAACCTGAACCCAGCCTGGGCAGCTCATTCCCCTGGCTGTACCCAGCTCTCAGGGGTGGGTGTGCTTTGGATACAGTCAGATGGAGGAAACGCTATACCTGTGTGTCATCTTCCCAGTCCCCAGGCCCAAAGCCAGAGCTGGCTCAGGAAGAACTGGTTGTGACACAGTTTGCCTCGCTTCCTCGTAGCCCTGTGGTCACATATCTTGCTCTCTCTAGTGGCTGGGGTTCTCTGTCCATGCAGAATTTTCCTTACTGGAGCTCAGGCTCCAGAACTTTCTCTGTTCATGAACAAAATGTTCACATTTTGAAAGGTGTGATTTTCCTAATCATTTTCTTCAAATACTATGGTGACAGATGACAAACTATCCATTTTACCTGTTATTATGTGCTAATATCCCTTCCCAGATAAAGTTTTTTTGTATTTTCACTGAGATGTGACTTGTGGTTTGTGCACCTATGGGACATTGAACTTTAACCTAAAGGTGGAATTAAAGTACCATTACCTGTAGGACAATGTCTTGGTCACTTTCCTCATCACTGGGCCAACTTCATGACCCACAGCTTAAAGGCTGATTTATTTTGGTTCCTGTTGATGGCCCATGGTTGGCTGGCTCCAAGACAGAAGCGGCATGGTGGAAGGGTCTGGTGGAGGAGCACTGTTTGTGTTACGGTGGTCAGGAAGCAGAGAGAGAAGGAAGGAGCCCAGGCGCAAGACGGACCCTTGCAGTCACTCTCAGTGACCCTACTCTCAGTGCGGGAGGCTTTGGGAGATATTCTCAATATAAACCATAACAGGCAGTAGCTTTTTTGTTTGTTTGTTGATTGCCTTTGATCATGGGTCTGTTGGGTCCTCTTAAGTTGTATCGTGTAAGGGCTTTTCAGATTTTCTTATGGGTATGATGGGTACGATTGGCCTCTGTTTGCAGGCAATATGTTCTTAAGCGCCTTTGTAGTATATTTGTAGTGTATCTGCTATGTGTGGAAAGAAGGTAGAGGGTGAGTGTGCAGACAGCACAGACACAGTGAAAAATGTAAAGATGAATGGCTGCTTTTCACCCTGGCCTGGGTCACTGAATTAATCTCTTACCCAATTTCAGAGACTGTAAGAATTTTAAGCACTTTTCTCTCTGGTTCAGCAATCTCCCTCCTTCTAAGAATAATAAGTCAAAGTTAGTTAGCAGCACATAGTTGCTTTGGGTCTTGCTCTCTTTTCCCTCTGTCCTTTTGCACTGCCATTTACATTGATGTCTTTCTTATCTTTAGTTTTCCCTTCTTTCCCTCGTTTGCTTTTTTTAAAGTCAAGACTTGAAGAGAGAAAGATAAAAATAGTCACTGAAGTGTGCCTCCCATACCGAAATTGTTTGTATTGTCTCTTTTTACTTACGTAGAGGGATAATCCTCCTTTCCCCTTATGTGTGTTCCAGAATAGTCTGAATAGTGCTGTCTGCACACTCACCCTCTACCTTCTTTCCACACATAACAGGTGCACTACAAATATACTACAAAGGCACTTAAGAACATATTGTCTGTGGCCTGAGGATTTAGGTCAGCAGCACCGCCTGCCTGGCAAGCGCAAGGTTGTAAGTTCAATTCCTGGTACTGGAAAAACAAACAAACAAACAAACAAAGAACATATTGCCTGCAAACATCACTAGAATGATGGTGCACACCTGTAATCCCAGCCCTCTGGGAGGCTGAGGCAGGAGGAGTGCAAGTTCAAGTCCAGCCTGGGCCACTTCATGACATAGTGAGATCCTGTCTTAAAATAATGAAAAGGGCTGAGAATGTAGCCCAGTGCAAATGTCCTGGGTTCAATCCTCAGTACTGAAATAAAAGCAAATCAAAATCACCAACAAACAAAACCCTTTTAAATCATGTTGACAGATTCCCTGGAGGTGGGTGGCAGTCTATTTCTGAGCCTTAAATCTCTCTGATTACAGCTTTATCAGTAAAACAGGTGTGTAGCTATACTGGCTGTGTGCAGTCTGACAGCAGATGGTGCATTCTTCGCCTCCCCTTTGGAAGAGTCAGTGTGACCATGGCAGTGGCCCTCTTTTTGTGAACTTGAAATGTTTTTGATCCTTGAAGCCCTGGCAGCATAGCCTTTGGGGACAAACTTTGGAGAGTGAGGCAGAACCTGAGTGACTTGCATCTGTTAGGCATTTGCTTAGAAGCAAGAGAATGCCACAGGGCAGTGAGAACTAAATAGCTCTTCCCTGTCCAGTTGTGATTATCAGAATCACATGATGTGGTGCTGCTGACCCTTGGAAATTCTGCCAAGGTCAGCAGAAAAATGCGCTTAGGTAGACATTCATCCACTTGGCAAAATGGAAGCGTGAGGTAGTGAAGAGGAATGTAAGGAGAAATAGTGGGGTTAACTGACCAATTACACTGGCATAGAAGCCATCATTGCAAGAGGGGCATGGAACAATATATTTCTGTTTAATATTTTCATGCAAGTATGTATATATGCTGATATATACAAGGTATGATGGACATGCATGATATTTAAATTTAACCTTTTTTTGAGACAGAGTTTTGCTATGTAGTTCAGGCTGTCCTTGACCTCACTATGTGTAGCCCAGGCTGGCCTTGAACTCATGGAAATCCTCTTGCCTCTTCCTCCCGAGTGCTGGGATTGCAGGTGTGCACCGCTATGGCCAGTTTAAAAAAAATATTACAGTAAAAGGCATATTACCATTAATCTCTCTCAAAATTCTCCCCCTTGATTCAAACACACTTATCCCATCATTCTTGCCACTTTCTGAAGCAGTTCTGGAAGTTCTTTCCGGAGTGTCTTGGTGAGTTGTGATAAAAAATAAAGTGAATGTTGCTGCAAGGGCTGTTCAAGGGAAAGGCAGGCTCCTACAAAGGGCTCCTACACATTACGTGTGCCCTCATCCACCTTATTCACCAGATCTGGCACTGCGTGACCTCTGGCTCTTCCCCAAAGTCAGAATGACCATAAAAGGTAAATGGTTTGAATTGATTCAGGACATTGAGGCGGCCATGACAGTACAACTAAGACACTCATGAAAGAGGACTTCCAGAACTGTGTCAGAAGGTGGCAAGAGCGATGGGATAAGTGTGTTCAAAGCAAGGGAGATGATTGTAAGGGGGATGAATGACATGTCTGTTATTATGATAAATTTTTAAATTTTAAAGTGAATTTTAAAAATAACAAAATAACAATAACATAAACAAAAACAGAACAACAGAAAAACCATAAAAGTTATACAATGTTTCAAAACAAAATGATAGGAATTAACAGTGGTTGAGCAACTTCATTGAAGATAACAATATTGTAATAAATTTAAGAGAAAATTCATTGTATTTTTTATCACACTGTGTGTGTGTGTGCTCGTGCATGCACACACACACATATTTTTTTTCCTGTTTGGTGGTCTTTACTCCTCTACTCACATTCTAAAGATCTTTGGAATTAGGATGAATTTGTGTAATTTTGTGGCATGATCTTGCAAAACTGTTGCCTAAGCAAATAGATAAAAGCTCCATGACTTCAGAGGAAATGGCAGAGCAGAAATGGGCAGTGGCCTGTAGGCAGACCTGGATTCAGGGGATGGGGTAGAAACCTTGTGGCAGATAACTGTGTGATGATGAGAAGCCAGAGACGTAGTGCTCAGCACTTACAGGTGACTGTTTCAAAATCAGGAGCCACTGATTTTAGAGCCACTGATTTTAGGGATGGGGTGGGCTTTCGCTGGAGATGCAGAGTGGCAGTGTTTCCAGAACACGCTGTCCTGGCTGCCTGCCCTCCTGAGGAGAGCTGTCCATCCAGCAGTGCTTTGGGGAGCTGGGCGGGGGGGGCTGTTAGCGTGTCCCACAGACTTGGGCTGAATTGTTCTCTGTGTTCTTGTGTAGGCCACCGGCTGCAGGAGGTGGTGACAGTGTCTGTATGCCTCTGCTCAGAAGGTTATTCCCCAGTGACCATGGGCTCCAGCTTGGTGACCTACGTGGACAACATGGCCTGCAGGCTGGCCCGTTTGCTGGTCACCCAGGCCAACCGCCTCACAGCGTGTAGTCACCAGACCCTGCTGACACCGTTCGCCCTGACGGCGGGCGCACTGGCTGCGTTGGATGAGGAGCTTGTGATGGCGATGACCCAGCTGGAGCTGCCTGCAGGGTGGACTGTCCTGGGCGACTCTTCACCTGAGGGTGGGTATGCACCAGCGAACACAGGCTGTGCTGTCCCTGTCAAGTACAGAACATGCCTTTCTACATAGTGTCTGTGTCCTTGCCCACCTTGGGCTGGAGCCTTGCTTTCCTGTGGCCAAGTTTCTTGGGGTCGTGAGCCACCATCTCTGGTCTGATTCATGCTGCCCCCTTCCCAGGAGGTGTTAGGGAGCTGGAGGTGAAAAGCTTTGCATTATGGGGACAGGACGGTTTCTCTATGACAGGGTCTTAAACCACTGGCCTTGGTCCATGACTCTACTTCTCTCGGCAAGTTTTCCTGCAGTTGGCAAGGGGATGTTGCTGCTCTGTTTCCAAATAGGAAACAAGAACAAAACTGAACTCTGTGAAGCAGAAAGAAATGTAACTGATGAGCTGATACCTTTAAAGATTTCAGCGGCACCAAGAGCGTCCATTTTACATTTGTACTTTGAAAGATTTTAATTGATATATAATTGTAGATATTTATTGGGTGTGGTGTGATTCTTCCATACATGTATAGGATGTCTATTGATCAAATCAGGATCATGGAAATGAGGGTTTCCTTTTCCTTACACATTTACATTTTCTTTGTATTATATTTTACTAACTCTTAGAGTTACTAAAGGTAGAACAGTGTTATGGTTTGTGTCTGTGTGTCCCCCCAAAGCCTCATGCAGTCATGGGGCAGGCTTTTAGAGTTTGATTGATTATGGGTGTGAGAGCTACACCCGCCCTAGGGTGGATAGTTTGCATATGTAAGGGAGACAGAAGAGGCTGCTTGAGGCCATTTCCTCCTTTTTGTGTTGTTGCTTTGGCTGTGTTCGGACGCCATGAGCTGTAGCCCTCTGCCATGTGCCACTCTGCCTTGTAACTTGCCAAGTACGGACTGAAACCTCCACAAACTGTAAGCAAAATAAACCTTTCCTTCCTTAAATTTGGGAGTCAGGTATTTTGTCCCAGCAATGAGAGAAAAGTAACCAAGACAAACAGACTCTGAATCTCTGCGTGGAATATGCAGTGTGTGAACAGAGCCATAAGTACTGTTCACAGTACAAGGCTGAATCATCCAATACATGTTTCTTATGATAATTGCAAATTGCGTACGTGTATTGAAAATACAGTCATTGTTTTCACGGAACACAGCATATATTATTGCTGCTTTTCCCTGTTCTTCCCATGACCTTAGTTTGGTGGTTGAACAATGCCATTTCTAAGAGTTTCTGCTTCCTGATAACTTCTGGTTACAAGCTGGCTTAAAAGAGTATGATTTTGGTATACAGACTTCTATGGCCATAGCCAGAATCAGCGAGGATATCCATTTTTTTTTTTTTTTTCATTTGATCAAAGTCATGCTAAAACTCTCCTGAACACTTAAGGATGTGTCTTATTTTTTAAGACCTGGGTAAGCAGTCTGAAGTGTTGTCCTGCTTAAGCTGTGCACCAATCCTGTGTGCTGTACTTTGCTGGGTGGTGGTTCATTGACAACTATATAACTTTTTTTTTTAGTCTGGAATCGAACTCAGGACCTTGTGCTTGCTAGGCAGGCACTTGTGCCACTGAGGACCTATAAAGGAATGCCTCCTAGAGGGTATAGATTGTCTTCTGCTCACCGTTATCCCTAAGGGTCTACTGAAGCTATATGGGGCACCATAAAAGTGAGGATTGCAGGTCTCAGGCTGCACCCTCCATGCCTCCTGTCCTATGATATGTCCTATATCATATGTCCTATATATGCCCTATATCATAGCGTATATGCTATATATACTGTATGATAAACAGCATATATATACTGATATATGATATCATATATGTGAATATACATAACAGTCCTGTATAGTGTTTCCTGGCTAAGGAATTTAATTTTCTTAAGCCCCTTGGATTTAAAAGGACATGTTAAATTATAATGTTGGGCAGTGTTTTGTTTTGTGGAAAGGACATCCATTTGACAGAGGCACCAAGCTTTTACCCAAGTCCCTGTACTCAAGTCCCTGAGAGAACATCAAAGCACATGAAGGGGCAGAGCAGGACAGTCACAGGCTCCTTCCCCAGCCCAGCAACCCACCTTGGCACCCAGCTGATGCCTGGGGAGGTCCCATTTGTGCCTCCGCAGTATTACAGTATTGAAGGTCATGAGACTTTCTAACTGCACGTGAATAGCTTAAACTAAGGACTTTCAAAGGGGAATTCATGTTACCCTCATGCTATATTTATTTTTCATGCTAAAATTTAAAAGTTAAGGTTACCTTATATTTAATCTGTGGATTGGCACTAGCACATGTTGGGAGTATATGCTCCCAGCTGTTTACTGTAGAGCAATGGAATCACGCAGGCTTGGAGAACACGGAGGTGTCAAGGTATCTCTTGTTGCCATTTTCATGGCTATTGGAAGATGCATTCTTGTTCATCAAAGTCTATCTGTCGTGACCTTTAATTTACCCATATCCTTGTACCAGACAAATTATTTCACCAAAAAATCCTTTCTTTCTGACCCTCCTGCCAATATTTACATAGGACAGGTATTTTTTCATGAGGGAAAAATTGAAGCAATTTCTTTACATGGTGAGACATTGTATTCAGTGGAAAACCAATTCTAGTGTCATAGTTATTGAAATGAGCTCTAGAGCCAGGTTTATACCCTGAACTTGCTGCTCCCTGGCTATGATACGCAGGCAAGTTCCTTTAGTTCTGGTGCCACAAATTTTTAATATCTAAAATAAGTCCTGCTAGTACCCACCTCACTGGCTTGTTCTGATTATGAAGTCAGAAAATATTATAGTGAAGCGTTATAATTGTATTGAACCACAGTAAGTTTCTGGTGAAAGTTGACCTTTTGTATATATGTGAATGGATTTCCGAAGAGGGCATTTTTTGTGTGTTATGTGTACATATATGGAAGACAAATTACAGTTTGGAGAAATGAAACTGCAGATAAGGATGAAATCCTGGTACTGTAAACAATTCCTTGAGCTTTTCTAGGAGCTTTCTTAGACTTTCTCCAGAAACAGTTTATAGTCCCTGATGTTACACCTCTTGCAGTGTAGACTTGTGATGAAGCTTCTCTGCAATGTCAGTGTCAAGGAACTGTGCTAACACCTGCTTCTTTAGCTAAATTTTACTCTGAGATTTATGGTTGTGTTGGAGGACTTGACTCAGTTTCCATGTGTTTAAATTTCCGTCCCCATCTTTTCATACCCCGATTCTGTTGTATGCGCACATTGTGGCTCATGTATGGACAAAGGCTAATTTTCGATTGGTAGCCTCCACAGATGCATTTGCTGGGATGCTTTTGTCAGAATTCTTTGTTTTAAATTTGAGACATTTGTAGGAAAATGGATGGACATGGAAAATGTAATGGTAAGTGAGATAAACCAGACACACATGCTTACATACCATAGGGTATCTCTCACCTGAGGCAGGGTACAAACAAAGAAAATAATAAAGAGTGGATAGAAAGGGTTAAGGGTCAGCTGTCCTGCAATAGGGAAGTGGTCCAAGGGAGCAAGGGCGAGGGGTGAGGAGGAGGGGAGGGGAAATAGGAAGAATAAAAATGTGCCATGTACTCAAACCCAATGACCCCAGTTAAGGTAAAGTTTGTCATAGCATGAGCTAGGATGAGTAACATCAGACAGGGGGTGGGGAACAGAGGGGGAGGGGATTAAAGAGAAAGAAGCTATAGTATGTACCTGTAATTACTCCCAAGATGACTGTAAACTCCACGGATTGCAAACATGTACAAGTAAAAGAAATAAATAAAGAGAATTATTTGTCTTTTAAAAACCAAATTGGGCAGTTAGACAAATAGATTCAAATATAAATTCTTCTTTTTTTAATTTTTTACTCTAAAAATTGTATTGTGTACTGTGGGGGCGCTGAAGGTTTTATTGCATTGACTGACCAAGTAATTGGACATAAATTAATCATTTTCAGTTGAGAATAAGTAAGAGCATTTGGTGAAGGGCTGACACTGCCGCTGCAGATCAGCTGGGCTTCGCTGGGTGTTTACAGGGTACACGTGCACTTTGGTGGCTGCACATCGAGTCACTTTCTATTCAAATCTGTTTGGTCAGATACTGCTAACTTTGAATTGTGGATATTATCTTTGTACTTAATTTAGTAGAGCTTTTTTTTTTTTTTTTTGTTTTTTCTCCGGTACCGGGAACCGAACTCACGACCTTGCGCTTGCCAGGCAGGCGCTTTTGCCGCTGAGCTAAATCCCCAGCCCCAGTAGAGCTTTAATCTAAGTAGTTTAGAGTCTCTTTTGTGCTCAGACAAGTTTTTCTAGCACACCTACTTTATTAGTTTTACTTGTCTTCTAGATGGATAAATTACAGTGATGAAGGAGAAATAAATTAAGGGTGAGGCTTACTGCAATTTAGGTAGCGTTAGTGGGGAAAAGAGTGTCTTTTCTAGTAATTATTTTTTTTTTGTAGAATTTGTTTCTAAATTTATTTTTAACACATAGAAACATAGAAATTTTACATATGAATAGGGTGCCGTGTAATACGTGGATACAGGTATGCACTGTATAATATGTAAGTTAGGTTAAACATATTTATCTTCTCAGACATTCATCATTGCTTTATAATGAAAGTTTCAAAATCACTTCTTCTAGCTCTCTTTTCTGCAGCACTGGCCTTGTGCTCTGTGCTGTTGTCTGTAGGGATCCTGCTGTGCATACTGGGACATCTTGTTCCTATCTAACCTAGGAATTAATGGTCATCCGTCCCTTCCCTGTTGCTCCCGGCCTCTGGTAACTACCATTTTTTTCTCAACTTCTATGAGACCATTTTTTTTTTTTAGATTCTACATATGAATGAAATCATCCAGTACCTGCCTTTCTGTAACTGGTTTATTTTACTTGATATAATGAGCTCCAAGTCAGTCTATGTTGATACACCACAATTTCATTCCTTTTTAGGGCTGAATAGTGTTCCATTGCATATATAGATACTCCATATTTTCTTTATCCATTTGTAATTTGATGGACACTTTAGTTGCTTCCG